AACCCCGAGGCGAAACAAATTCTTGACGTTTCGCGTATCCCAACGGCGTACTGCTTGGCTATGGCCTCTGACACTTTGGGGGTATTTGCATCGCGCCACTTTGGTAGCGTAATGACTTCTTCCTGGGCGCTGGGTTTCCATCAGACTCCCTGGGCAGCAGCACCCTTGCACCCGCCGCCCGGCGCCGGCCGCGGCACGCGCGCGCCCCCGGCCAATTTGTAGCGGCCGCAGCCCGACCGTTACCCGCCGCCGCTGGCGCTTCCGCCCGCGGCTGTATATATATATATATATATATATATATATATATATATATCCCCACCAGCCCCTCTCGGCGACTGCTTCACGCTTCCGCCCGCGACCAAAAAAATATCCCCACCAGCCCATCCAGAAACGATTAGCATGGGAGTCGGTGAATCAGGGGCGGCAGGACGCATGCAGTTGCGCAGCCGTCTTCGGGAAAACAAGGATCACAAAGAGCTTCCCGCATTGAAGTTAAGATGGGAATCGGTGCAGGCTACGATGGTGCTTCGACGAGGGGTGAGGGGTGTTGCGATGACTCGTAATGGCTGTTGCACAGATTTGTATCTTAAGCTCGCGTGCGTTTCGAAACTTGGAGCCATCTTGGTGCGCTTTTGGGGTTCTCTTGGGGTCCTCTTGGGGCCCTCCTGGAGCTCTTTCTTGGGGCTCTCTTGAAGTCCTGTAAGGCCCTTCTTGGAGCCCCCTTGGGGCTCTTTTGGGGCGTCATGGGGTCCTGTTGGGGCTTTTCGGGGGGGTCTTTTGGGGGGTCTGGGAGCTCTCTTGGGGCTCTTGGGAGTGGTCTGGGAGGCCTCTTGGAGCCGTCGTAGGCCGCCTTGGTCAAAATGGTGGGGGGGTTCTAATTCGGATCGCCCCCTTCGGAGGCTCAAACGGGCCCTCTTGGGGCCCTCTTGGCCCGCTCTCGGGGAACGCTCTCGGGCGCTCCTGGGGCTGTCTTGGGGCCCTTTTGGACCCCTCTGGGGGCTATCTTGGACCGTCTTGGGGTCATCTTGAGGCTTCAAGAGCCCATCGGAGGCGAAAACACGAGAAGGCAAAACAACATGAATTGCCCTTAGGTTTTTGGAGGGTTTTGGCCTCTTGGGGGAGTCCTCGGAGGGCTCGGAGAGCATTTGAAGCCGTCTGGGGGCCGTCTTGAGGCCTCTTAGATGAGTGCTGGAGGCTGTCTTGAGTCATCTACCGCTATTTTGGGCCATCTCGGAGGCCATCTCGCACTCTCTGAAGCCCTCTTGGAGCCATCTTGGGCCGAAAGGGGCCCTCTGCCACCTCGCAGGGGAGCCCGTCCAGACGCAGGGAGGGGGGGGAGGTACACATCCCGAGCAGGGAAAGGAAGGAGGTTGGAAAAGGAAACGCCCTAGACCACCTGCGCCCAGAGGGCTCGTGGGATTAGCCTGGCGAGTGACCCAAGCATATGCAGTTGTGACTACCGCAGTTGTGGGTATCGCCTTCTGTGGAGCTCCCCATGGGCCACAACGTTGTTCTGGGTGGGGGAGACCCATGTGGACACCGCCGCTGCGACCTTAGGTGGAGCTCCCGATGGAGCCACGGAGCGCTGTGCTGGATGGGGGGGACGAATGTGGACATCACCACTGGGACCTCGGGTGCAGCTCCCTATGTGGCAACGAAACGCTGTGCAGGGTGGGGGGGACGCATGTGGACACCGCCACTGGGGCCGCAGGTGGAGCTCCCATCTGGAGCCACGAAGTGCTGTGCTGGGTTGGGGAGACGCATGTGGACACCGCCGCTGGGGCCTCAGGTGGAGCACCCTCAGTGCATCCACGACGCGCTGCACTGGGTGGGGGGGACGCATGTGGACACCGCCGCTGGGACCTTAGGTGGAGCTGCCCATGGAGCCACGAAGCGTTGTGCTGGGTGGGGGAGACGCATGTGGGCACCGCCACTGGGGCCTTATGTGGAGCCCCCTATGTGGCCACGACTCGCTGTGCTGGGTGGGGCAGACGCATGTGGACACCGCGACTGGGACCCTAGGTGTAGCTCCGTATGGGACCACGAGGCGCTGTACTGGGTGGCGCAGACGCATGTGGACACCGCCACTGGGGCCTTAGGTGGAGCTCCCTATGGGGCCACGGAGCGCCGTACTGGGTGGGGGAGACGCATGTGGACACCGCCATTGGGACCTTAGGTGTAGCTCCCTATGTGGCCACGAAGCGCTGTGCTGGGTGGTGGAGACGCATGTGGACACCGCCACTGGGGCTTCAGGTGGAGCTCCCCATGGAGCCACGAAGCGTTGTGCCGGGTTGTGGGGACGCATGTGGACACCGCCACTGGGACCTTAGGTCTAGCTCCCGATGGAGCCACGAAGCGCTGTGCTGGGTGGGGGAGACGCATGTGGACACCAGTACTGGGACCTTAAATAGAGCTCCCGATGTGGCCACGAAACGCTGAGGACATGCGCAGGGCAGAGGCAGGGATGGGAGGAGGGAGGAGGGGGAGGAGGAAGGAAGAATGGAAGGAAGGAGGGAGGGAAGGAACGCGGGGACCGTCTCTTCAAAACGGGGACTCAACACCACAAGGATGGTTGGGAACAAGCTTCGACAGCGTGCGGTGCGAAATGGATAGAGAGCCGCAGCCTGTTGACAGAGGGGGAAGAGCATCAGCTGGTGGAGCAGGAGGAGGAGGCGGACGACGGAGGAGGAGGAGGAAGAGGAGGGAGGAGAGGCGGACCTCTCCTCCTTACCTTCTCTTGTCTTCTTCCTCCAACCACTGCACAACTGCCGGTTCTGGTTTCAGAAACGATTCAACCGTGTTCCATGTAGTCACGCTCGTTTAGGCTATGCTCTGTCATGTCGGGTTCTGTGCTCGACGGGCCGGCGTGACGTCGTGACGCTTGTGACGTTAGACGCATCATTTGTTGTGCTATTCCCTTGAACGCGTGCGTTTTTCGGATTGAGTGTTTTATGTCATGCTCATCTCTGTCACCATATGATTTGAGATGTTATGGTATGACCTGCTCGATGGCAATATGTAATGGCATGAGCTGTTATGCCAGGTAATGCTCTAGTATGCTCTGTTCAGTGATGCTGCTGACAGCTCTGCTCAGCATCGTGTAGTACAATCTGCTCTGCTGGTATGTTTCGCTATGCTTTGTTGCCGTGCTCTGATCTGACTTGTGATGCACACCATTTGATATGACATGTCCCGTGAAGGCCTGTTATGCTATGTTCGAGTATGCGATGTTATGGTGTGTGATGTTGTCTTCTGTTCTGACATGTTCTGCTCCGATACGTTCTTTGGCGTTCTAAGGGTTGACGGCTCGGCTCTATTTGGTAGATGAGGATACACTATGTTCGTGCCTGTCGTTATGCTCTTCTATCGTGTCAAGATATGCTCGGCGATGCCGTGCCATGATTTGATATGTCCTGTCAAGGTGTGCTGTGCTATAATCGGTGATGCTCGTTATGTTGTGTTCTGGCGTCTTGTGTTACGGCATGTCCTGATCTGGTGTGTTATGTGATGGTATGGTATGTCCTACCTTGTCATGGCATTGCTATGTCGTGTTCTGGCATGTTACTATTGCTCGAGTTCTGTTCTTCCAGGTTCTGTTGTGCCATGCTGTGCTCTGTCGTATTCGTCACCGCGTTGCTCGGCCGCCGTGTTCTGACATGTTATGTTATGCTGTGTCATGATCTGATTTGTTCTGCCAAGGTGTCTCATGATATGCTCGGTTCTGCTCGGTTATGCTGTGTTATGCGATCTCCTGTCCTGTTATGTTCTGGTCTGGTATACTATGTGATGTTATGTGTGATGAGCTGCATGTAATAGTATTATTATATGCTGTGCTAGTATGTGTTGCTATGCTCTGCTGTCGTGGTATGATATGATATTTGATGTTGTGCCATGCTATTATCTGTCCTGTCAAGGTGGTCTTGTGCTATGATCGGTTATGATGTGATTGGTTTGTTGTGTTATGTCGTCGTGTGTTCTGTCATGGTCTGCTCTGTTATGTTCTGTGATGCTCTTTTATTCCTTCTCTGTTCATGACGTTGTTATGGTGTGATCTGCCATTAGCTGTCATGCTCGGGCTCCGTTCTGTCATGTTTTGTTGTGTTATGTCGTGTTCGTCGTCGCTATGCTCTGCTTTCGTGTTATGATATGCTCTATGATGCTGTGTCATGATATGCTATGCTCTGTCAGGATGTGTTGTGTTATCCTCGGCTCTGTTCTGGTATGGTGTATCATCTCGTCTTCTGTTCTGTCATGCTCTGCTCTGGTATGTTCTGCGATGTTATGTTATGCTTAATTTTGCCATGGCATTGCTATGTTGTGTTCTGCCACGGTCTGTCTGTCATGCTCGAGCTCTGTTCCATCATGTTCTGTTCTGTCATGTTGTGTTCTGTCGTGTTCGTCGAGGGCGCGAGGCGGGACACCCGGGGGGACTTTCAGGGATCATCGGGACAAGTTGGGGTCTGACGGCCGCGGTATGCAGGGAGGGGTTAGCCTAGGGGCATGTTCTTGAAATCGAACAACCCCGACATGTTGGGTGGGGAATAATGCGTCTAGACCAACGATTGCCAACATTTGCAGCGTCTCGACGGCTGCACGGTCACGGAGTGGCGCTGTGCCATAGCAAGATAAACGCAGTAAGCCAGGATCATTGGAGAACAGTTTGTGACACATATGTGATATACAGGCGACTGGTTATTACGTTTTTGCTTCGCAGTTGTCTCCCTCGTGTTTCCCCGTAGTGCCGTTGAGCCAGGTTCACGGTTTGGAGGAACGTGTGCCAATTATTGCAGAGTGAGCGATTCAACCACGCTCTCAACCTTTGTTAATGTATTTTTGGTAGGTCCGCGCAAACAGGCAGATGCCAGCGCGAACTATCCGGCACATTCACGCAATTTCCACCTGGGCGCATGTCTCCAGTCCCCCTCTGCGATGCTTGACAACGGCATTCGGTGTTTGCCGCGGCTTTCTTTCCCTGATGCGTGGATGAAAAGGCGCCAGATGTCTGCTGTCGGAATTCCGCAGGGGAGCGAACAGCGGCCAGGAGTGCTGGCCCACGTCTCCTGGTCCGTTCAGCCAAGGTTGTGTTGGCTTGCCTCGGGGGCAAGCGAGGCGGGGCGATGGACAGCAGAGAGACACAGAGGCTCCTGGCGTGGCCCTACCGTGGGCCTGGCAGACGTGATGAGTCATGGGGGAACCGTCGTGGTGCGAAACTGCCACAGCATCGACACCCACGAGATGAAGTGGGACGTGGGCCGCAACACTGCGTTTTTCTACAAGCAGGACAGGCCCGAAGCCGCCTGCCGCGCGCATCGGCTGCTGGATGTAGAGCCCCCCTCGCCCACCTCCTCGCTCTCGTCCCCGTCCTCCTCTCCGTGGATCCTCCCGCCCGACCCCCGCTGGGTCCAGGAGGGGCAACCAGCGTCAAGGATCTCGGTCATCGAGCCGCGATGGACGACGAAGACGACGATCGCCCTCGAACCTCGAACTTCGATCCTCGAACCTCGAGCCTCGACCTTCGAACCTCGAACCTCGAACCTCGATCCTCGACCTTCGAACCTCGAACCTCGACTTCGCGCGATCGTCGAACCTCGAACTTCGAACCTCGATCCTCGCATCTCGATCCTCCACCTCGAGGGCGGCGACGACGACGGCTGCCCTCCCCTCCCCGTCGCCTCCCACCCCGTCGCCGGCAGGAGGGCCTCGAGCGCCCCCCGCCGGCGGACGCGGCGGAGGACGTCTACGTCCCCGACAGGTCCCCGCGCCCCCCCCCTTGGGGGCCACATGCGAACCCTACCCTTTGTGGGCCGCGCTGCTCCTAAGGGGCCCGCCGGCCGGCCGGCGGACACAGCGCGCCTCGCCTCGCCTCGGATTCCGATTTGGGCTCCGATTTCCTATTGGAGGCCTACAAGCCTGCCGATCTCCGCCGATTCGACTCCTCCCGACCCGGCCGCCGAGTTCCGCCTGTCCGATTCATGTCCATCGCCGATTCGACTGGTCGATTCGAATCCGGGCTCTCCTGCATGGCCGTGCGCAATTGCTGGGCGTGGGCCTTTGTGGGCCGCGGAAACGGCAGGGCCGTTTGTTCACCGTTTCAAAAAAAGATGTCCCTTGAAAATGGAAGGAAGCGGCAACAAAAACGGCGACCGGAAACGGCAAGAAAACGGCTCCAGGATTGGAACCGGCTGCCGTTTCCATTTTCAAAGGAAATCTTTTTGGAAACGGTAAAAAAACGGCCCTGCCCCTCAGAAATCGTCGGGGGTAGGGACAGGGTTCGCATGTGGTTCCCAATCCTCCCAAGGTCATGATGCTCCAACCTACTTTAGCCTTGACCACCAGGAAGAATTCCGAGCGGCCCAAAAAAGTACCTAATTTCGAAGGTTTTCACGTGTCGGGCCCTGGGAGACTCGCCCGACACTGTTTCGACACTGTTTCGACACTCTTTTGACACTTTCTGGGTGCTAGAGATTATTTCTGGGATGCGGTCCTTAAGTAGGATGGGACCAACATAACCCCAAGGCTTGCCCCGCCCCTCCCCTGTTCGAGGTCCTGGCGGGGTGCTTGCTTTAGGTTCGTGCGGCGATGGCGCGCCGGCGACGCCAGCGAAGGTGTTCAAGGGCTGAATTCTGCGGCGCGGAAGCACGACGGGATATGGTAACGTTTTTGCATCCGACGGAATTCAAGCTTGAACGATCGGGGCCGCGATTGGTTCAAGATTGAACGATCGACGCGGTGTCGGAGACCTTTGCGCGCGCCGACGCCGCACGAACCCGCCATACGGGACGGGTCGTTCCACCCCTTTGCCAGCGCACCTTTGGCGCGCACGGCTCCGTAGGGCTACACCCGTGCTTGTTTACTTCCCTCCAGCCCTAAGTGTGCCGGTTTTTGACCCAGAGTTGGCCTGGCTATGACGGCGCATGTACCTGCTGGACATCCGACGTCATGGAACTCTCATGCTCGTGCGCAAAATCATGCTTGAAGCTCCCGGCCCAATATTCACGTGGGTTTCTTGGAGCGGGATCGATCCATGAGGGTCCCAGGCCCGAAGCTTGGCGAGGACGGTCGTTGTGGTGTGGTCGCCACGACTGCCTGTCTGTTCCACGACGGTGGCGGCGACGACGACGACGCTTGCGATCTCCGACAGGTCGTAGCCAGCAGAGCCCCGTGCGGCGAGCGGCGGGTCCTGGGCTTCGCGGCAGAGCTCGAGACGAAGACTCCCTGAGGCCGAAAAGGCCCCACGAGAGCCAGCTCCACACGCGCCAGGGCGCCCTGGCCCCCGCGGCGGCTCCCGAGGCCGAGGGCCTCGCGGACCGCCGGGACGAGACGTTTCGAGGGCTCCTGCTCAAGATGAACAGGAACTGCTGTTGGGCATTGTCCCCATTGTTTCCGTACCCATGTCGGTCGTCCCGAACAATGACAGAAACATAAAAACTCGGAGGTCCGCGCGGATTTCTTGGATCGGCGCTGGGGCCCCCAGGCGGCGCCTCTGGCGCCGCCCCCTGGCGCGCTCCGCGCGCCAGGGACGGGGGCCCCAGCGCAGATCCAAGAGAAGTCCTCGCGGACCTCCGAGTTTTTATGTTTCTGTCATTGTTCGGGACGACCGACATGGGTACGGAAAGAATGGGTACAACGCCCAACCACAAGTGTTGTCCCGCCGCCCGCCGTGCTCGACGCCGGCCGGCCGCGGCCGCGGAGGCTCGGCCTCCTGCCGGGGCACGGCGCCGGCGTTGCGGGAGGCCTCCTCCGCCTGTCCGTCCTCCTCGTCGTCCTCCTCTTCCTCCTCCTCCTGCGTCCTCCTCCCTCCTCCTCCTCCTCCTCCTCCTCCTCCTCCTCCTCCTCCTCCTCCTCCTCCTCCGTCTTCCTTCCTCCTCCTCCTCCTATTCCTCCTCATCTTTCTCGTCCTCCTCCTCCTCCTCCTTCTCGTCCTTCTCCTCCTCCGCCTCCTCCTTCCCGTCTCGGGCCGGACGAAAGGGGGATTGAACAGGGGGGAGGGTACGAAATTTGCTGCATGCAGCTGGTTTCAGCCCCACCCAGAGGCCCATTCCTCGATACATAGCGTCATTCGGCGCCGGGAGGCGCCGGGAAAATCAGTTCCGTGAGCTGATTCTCAAACCCCCCCTTGGCTATCCCCCCCTTTCGCCCGACCCGACCGTCCTCCTCCTCCGCCTCCTCCTCCGCCTCCTCCTCCGCCTCCTCCTCCTCCTGCGTCCTTCTCCGTCCTCCCTCCTCCTCCTCTTCCTCCTCTTTCTCCTGCTCCTCCCGAAACATGTGCAACAGTACCACACGATGGAGGGCAGGTGGTCTTTGAAACGTGGCTCTCGTCGTGGCGCCGCGCATATTCGTTTTAACAAGTTATCGATATCCCATGGATTGAGGCGGCCGTGCTCACAATGTAATTCTCATTTGTGCGCCGCGAACCCTCGTCTTAAGCATTTCAGGAGCTTCACGGATGGAGGGCGGCTCCTATTCAAGATGTGGTTCTCGCCGTAGTGCCGCGCACATTCGTCAAACAGCAATTGCATGAGTTTCACGTGCTCGCATGGCTAGTAAAGTAGAAAACTTGTTTTGGAGAGATTCTAGATTGTTTCATGGCTAAGTACCATCAGTGATGTTTTGACACGATGTCGGACTGTCAAGGCGCAGCAGTTACGTTGATTCGTGGTGCTGAAGTCCAGGGAAGAGGGGCGGTCTGGCACCATTCAGGACAGTGGATACACAACAGTCAGGTTGATTCGTGGCGCGGTCAAGTCCCGAGAATGGTGTTTTGGCGCGCCTCAGGATCTTCAAACGTTTGTCTCCGAACGGCGCTTTTCCGCAGTAGAAATGCATCCTTGCAGGGGCCTATGAAGAGGGCAGTTGGACGGAGGGCTTATTGCGATATCGTTGGTGAGTGCTGCGTTTACACTGGTCCTCCTTTTCCTCCTCATGAATAACTCCTCCCTGGCACGCCCCGAGACGTGTCGTAAAGGGCGGGTCGGGCGTTTCGCGTGAGACTTCCTCACCATTTCTTATTCCGAAGATGAAAATGATTTGCAACAGCTTCGCGGATGGAGGGACCGTTTTGAAAGTGCGATTCTCGTTTCAGCGTTGTGTGCATTGGTAGGAAAAGTTCGCAAGAGCTTCACCGATGGAGGGTGGTCCGTTTTCTAAAGGTGGCTCGTCCTGTTGGCGCGCACATTCGTTTTTTTTTCATGTTTTGCCGCAACTTTACTGGCTTGATTTAGGGCGGATTTAGGTTGAGTCGGTTGAGTGTTTTTGTGTTTTGATGCCGACGACGATTGTAATGATGGTGGCTATCAAATCGTAGTGCTGATGCTGGTGGCGATGGTGACGGTGATGATAGTGGTGCTCATCACATCCAGAATCACCATCATCACCATCACCATCATCACCATCACAACCGCCCTCATCATACCATCATCACCATCCCCATCATCATCATCATCATCATCACCATCCATACCATCAGCATCGCCATCACCATCACCATCGTCACCATTGTGGTCCGTAGGACTTGGCTCAAAATAGTGTCGTCGTCCGCTGGGGCGGTTTCCCCGAGCCCTCCAGCCTCGTCGTCCTCTCCTTCTTCGAGGGCAGCTTCGCCGAGCCCTGCTTCTTCTTCGAGGGCAGCTTCGCCGAGCCCTGTTTCTTCTTCAAGGGCAGTTTCGCCGAGCCCTGCTTCTTCTTCGAGGGCAGCTTCGCCGAGCCCGAGCCCGGGCCTTGCGGCCTCGTCGAGGGCAGCTTCGCCAAGCCGCGGCAGCTGCAACAGCTCGGACGCCGATGCTGACGTAGGGTCCGACGCCGACGGCGCCGACGGAGTTGCCGACGCAGCGGGCTCCGAAGGGGACAGCGGCTCCAACAGCGGCTCCGACAGCGGCTCCGAAGAGGACAGCGGCTTCAGCAGCGAGGCAGCCGCGGCTGCAAGAGCGAAGGCGAAGGCCGCCCCGAGCAAAGTAGTCGAGAAGTTCCCGCATTCGTTGTCCATGACCCTGGAGGAGCACGTCGCCAGCCACGACTACCCAAAGCACGTATCCACCTGCGGCGCTTGCAAATTTTGGAAGAACAAGGAGAAGTGGAGCGCCTCGATGTCTGCGGCGAATCCAGTAACACTGAAGAGTGGAACTTGGATCGGCTGCGTTGGTGGTAGATTTGCAGTCTGCTTGTTCTGCCCGGCGTTCAAGGGCACTCGCTGCTATTCCACCATAGGCCAGGGATCCGCGAGTTCCCAACGCAAGGAAAACCTCGCGCGCCATGCACAGTGCGAGGAGCACCAGGCAGCAGAAGCGGCGTGGAAAGAGCGGATTCGATTGGAAGGTGCGCACCAGGGTCTCCCCGTGTCTGTGTTCTCCACAACGGCTGCATCAGCTGCAGCAGCTTCAACAGCCGTGGCGCCTGCGCCCGCCGTCGTCCGCAACGCCGACCAGCGCCCTGGTTGCCGCGCAGCGGTCGCCACCCGTTTTTTTTTTTTTTTTTTTTTTTTTTTTTTTTTTTTTTTTTTTTTTTTTTTTTTTTTTTTTTTTTTTTTTTTTTTTTTTTTTTTTTTTTTGTTTTTTTTTTTTTTTTTTTTTTCTTTTTTTCTCTTTTTTTTTCGTTTGGCTGCGGACGGCCTCGACCGCGCGTGCCAGGTCGAAATTGGCACCGCGCTGCGGTCGATCCCGAAGGCTTTGGACTTCCTCCCAAGCTACGGTCTCAAGGCAGGCTGGCTGGAACAGCTGGGCCCCAGAGGGCCCTGGATCGTGGATCGGGTGATCGGGATGCGGGAGTTCCCGCGGGGCATGGACTGCGACGGCAAGGCTTCCATGCTGGAGGAGTGCGTCCGTCGCGCGTGCCAGACGGCAGGCGGGGAGCTGGACGGGGACTTGCACAAGCATGTGCGACAGGAGACTCGGGCATGGTGCAGCGATGGGGCGGATCTAAGTGTACCCCTGGCTGCAACAGCTACGTTCCCTGGGCTGGCGTTTCACGCGTGGGGCGAGTCTCACTCGCCCCAGAAGGTTCTGGCCAATTCGATGAAAGGAGACAGCGAAATAACGACCACGGACGAGCTGCTGGTAACGGGTAAGAAGCCGCCAAGTCTGGCCAAGTTCCTGACTACCTCCACCGTGTTCCGCAACACACTCGGGGAGCAGCAGCTGGTGGAAGACGGCGCTGCGTTCGTCAAAAACTTCGGCTGGGCCCCCCAGCGTTTCAACAGTCGGGCGAGGCCCTGAGCACGGGAAAGTCGGCGTTGGGAAGTCATTTTCGAGGCGCTCGGAGCGGAGTCCCAGGGGAATGACAAAGATCGGCGCATTCTCGCCCGACATATTCTGGAAGGGCTCGGGGGCGAGAACAGTTCGCGCCTGCTCCTGGGGGGGTTGCTGGCCGACTTGAGCGCGGAGCACTACTCCTGGGTCGCCACCGGAGACAAGAGCAACCCCGACGCTGCCAGCGTTCAATCCAGGGCCGCCGCTTTCCTCTCCAAGCTGGATACATTGTTCGTCCAGGGGAATATTCTGGCCATCCCCAACACGTTTACTGGCGTCACCCTCAAGTTTCTGAAGGCCACGAAGCGGTTCGCGTGCGGCACTGGCGTCCAGACCGTTGGTATCGGCGATTGGAGCACGGGGCCCCGAGCCCGCGAAGCCGTCCACGCGGCTCTTCGACGAGCGCAGGGGATCGTGGCCAATGTGAAGGAGAACATGAAGCTATATCGGCCAGAGCATTCTTGGTTGCACGCCTTTACAGCCTTTCGCTTGCCTTCCCCCCTGTCCCTGTCTGCAACAGCAGAGCATGCAACAGAAGCCGAGGCCTGTTTGAAGCGCATCTGCCAGGCGGCAGACCTCCCCGAGCAGAAGGCAATCTCCCAGCTGCGGCAAATGTTGCCCCGTGCCGAGGTGCATCATCGAGACGGGGGCACCACGCGGCAGGCTTGGGGCCGCGCTGCGGTGGAGTGGCCCGAGCTCCCCAGCGGCCGTCGCCTCGTGGAGCTCTTCCTTGTATGGAAAACGAGCACGGGCAACTTGGAGAGGCGATTCCGCCGTTTCTCGGAGGTGCATTGCCCCGAGAGGGCGCGGCTCCTCGACACGCCCGTCGAGGAGTGCACGCTCGTGGACCAGGCGCCCTCCAGCAGGTTGCTGCGCACGTGGCTGGGCGACAACGACGAGAGCAGCTCTGCCGCCAGTCGTTGGCACAGGCATGTGCTCAAGCTACATGAGGTCGCGCAGGGGGGGGTCGCGCCGCTGAGGAGGGCCGAGAGGCGCGACAAGGGAAGCACGCGGGAGCCTGGGGCAGCACGTCAGACAGAGGTAGGCTTCGGGCGCAGGCGAGCAGCTGCCGTCGACGCCATGGCGGCCGCTTCCCCGAGCAAGCGCGCCCGCCTTCTCGCGGAGGGCGCCCCCGATCTCGCTGCGCCGGCTCAGGAGGCGGCCCAGGCGAGCGGCGCAGATCCAGTCGGGCCCGCTGCAAAAGTCGTCGCCGCCGTCGCCAAGCGGGCCGCGACGCTTACTTGCTGCCCCCCCCGCGCCCCGCTGGGCTCGTGCTGGCTCGCATGGTAGATGGGGGCGCTCGCGACATGGCGCAGCGCTTGCGTTTCAAGGTGTTTTCAGGACCCGGTGGACTTCCTGGACTATCTTGCTGCCCGTCATACGGTCCAGGGGAAGAAGGGGAACGTAGTCTTGGCGCCAACAGCTGACACCGACTATTGCATCGCCGCCCAGATCGTAGCAGCGTTCACGGGAGTTTTTTTTTTTTTTTTTTTCTTCTCACAGCGCCGACTGACTTCGCACGGGAGGATTCTCCAAAAGGCATCCAGTACACGGAG